CGGAGCGCGCGGGTGCCGCTCGCCGGCCCGCCTGGTCCCCCGGAGCCCGTCTGCCAGTCGCTCCTCGCCCGGCAGCCTCCCCCCGCTGGGGCTGAAGGGGGCCGGGCTCCGGGCCCTGGGCCAGGCCGGGGAGGGCAGCGTGGGGGAAGCTCGGCTCCCGCCCTCCTCCCCGCCTCTGAGCCCCGCTGGAAGGAAGGCGACCCGATTGCTGGCAGGAGCGCCCAGGCTTGGGGATGTGGAGGGGGTCTGGGACTTTCTCACTTTCGCGGTTTCGGAGGTATCCCTTGCCCTCCTCTGAACGTCGCTCCTAGCAACTCCGGGTCTTTCCCCCACCCCCTTCCTTCTTTGCTCCCATCTTGTTGCCACTTGGCATTGAACACGCGGAGCTTGGCGCATCGGTGTGCATGTTTGTGTGTGTGTGTGTGGTGCGTGCGCCAAGGTCTTGCCACTTGCGTCCTGGCTCTTGGAAACCGGTACAGTTTCGGTTCTTTCCCCGCTCCCCATCTATTCCACTTCTGCCCTCCCCCCTGCCCCCCACCCCTGTGATCCCCAGAGAAAGGAGCCGAGCGGGTATCGAGGCTGAGGCTGCGTAACTCGGGCTGCCGCTCCCCGCGGGGGCGAAGACCGGCTTGGGAGGCGTGGGGTCCCCCGCTAGCCGGGCTGGCAGCTGGCGGAGCTGGTGGCAGTGTCCAAAGCCCGCTGTCCTGCTACCGAAGGGCGCCAGGCGTGGATCTCCGTCTGGGAGTCCGCACCCCGCAGCTGCTCCAGAGCTAAGACTGTAACTTCAGAGGTGGTGGTGCCGGAGGCGGGAAGGGAAGGGGTGGGGCTTAGTCTAGGTCCAAAATTGTAATCTTGTTTCGGAGGCCAAGTGGGAGGAAATTGAGGGTTGTTTGGCTGTCTGGCCTCTAGAGATTAACCTCCTCTATCCAGTTTCCAATCCAAAGGCGAGGAAAGAGCCCCCCTCCCCCCGCACCCCCTCCCTTCCTCTCCCTGAAGCCCATTACCTCTGAGACCAGAACTCGGCTTTTGTTACCAAATGCAAGTCTGTTGCCAGGGCCCACTCGTCGGCACAGTTGTGCTTGCCATGGCAAAGGCCATTGCTGTAGGTGTTCCGCAGGCAGAGCGTAATTCCTGCTGAGAGTGGAGATTGATACGGATGATAGACGGGAAGATAAAACTTGTCCACGTTTGCAGGGCTTCCCTGGGATCATTGCTTCACAACTGGCTGACAGATGGCGAGTTTATGCATCGAAATTCAAGTCTAAAGATGCTGTGCGTTTCTTTGTTAGCCTTTCGTTTGACGTGTTTGGCAGACTGTGTTTTCATCTGAAACATTATGGCGTTGTAAAAATGAACAAATTTGGGCATGTTCCTTTTGGCAGAGCTGTGCGTTATAGCTGTTGAGGTTTCTAAGGTCGGGGATGTCGGAAACCTACCTCAGCACAGTAGCATATTCTTATGGAGGAGGCTGAGTTTAAGAGAAAGGTAGTCAATCAAACTGCATCTACTGGCATTCCTTCCTTAGGATGTGTCACTCCGCTCCCTGCTTGAGACAGAATAAATGACAAGGCACTGCACATGGTCTTGGTGCCGCTTTGCCTCATTCTGTAAATATTTGGAGACCATGTAGAGCTCGCTATAGTGAAACTTTTAACCTCTCTGTGGTTCTTGGTTAGACTCACAAAGAAATAAATCAGGGAGTCTGTGGATATCTCCTCCTTTCACTCTTTCTGTGTCTTCATTTACCGGAGAATATTTAAGGGGAAAAATAGGTAGTTTATTAAGGGATGAAAAAGCATACATAATGTACAAGCAAGTAAATGAAAGGATCTGTCTTCTAGACAGATCTAGAGATAAAATTTTGCTTGATGCTTTGGAAGTTTGATTAGCTGCCAGGGCCTCTTGGGGTAAAAATCTCACCCCTGAGAGTGAAATTTATGTGATAAATGATGTGATGTGATTGTTAATTATTTTTGTGAGGAAATCATTATCCTAGGTTTGCAGATGGAATTCTGTTATACTATGGCTGAAGCTCAAAACATTGGTTATTTATATAATATGAATGATAGTTATTTTGAGAACAAAATATTTATAGGGCATGTTTAACCTATAACCTTTTGCAGTTGTTCAGCATTTATCTTTTCAAGATAGTACTGCACATGTGACTGTGCATGTCTCTGATGTAGTTTTTAATGGAGGAGTAACTGAAAACTTTGTAAATTATAAACTTTGTTGGTCTCTATACTTATGACTTATAAATATAAATCCCACTATAAACTCATCAGTTGTTATACTCAATATTCTGGCAGTTTATCATTGGCATTTGTTAAATATAAACTGTTATATTTAGAATTCTAATTCTTTTATTGGCAATGCTATGCTTTTAGGTCTCATATATTTTGATATAAATGAGCAGAGAGCTCTTATTACATTGGAACATAAATTAGTAATAAAAAAGTGATTAAGACTAGATTACTATATCAGTCAACATATGATACTTGTTTTACTTTTCTGCTTTTTTATTCTATGTAAAGTGCAATATATTTTTAAAGCATTCTGCTCTTTATTTTTACATAAACTTCAACAGTATTGGACTTTTGTTTGAGGTTATTTTGACATTGCTTTTCTTTTTAGAAGTTTTCTGGACTTCAGTTACCTGAAAATTCAGTTAGTGTGACAGATTTGAACATTATAGTAGCTTCTTGAAACACCAATAATTAGTAACAAAACTCCATTATTATTTTGGGATTTTTTTGTGACTAGTTAATTATTACTGAATCATTTTTAATTAGATTATATATTGGAAGAAGAGGAACAGGATTTCTAGAAAGTATAAGTGCACTGTTATTCTGCCCTCAGAATTTAGTAAAACCTCAAATAACTTGACTTTTCAGAAATAATAGGGGTCTTTTGGTCTTCTATACTATAATGAAAAAGACAAGTATAATTCAACATATGTATTCAGCACCTCCTATAGGCTATATTATCTTTTCAGTGTTACCAGGATGAATAAGATATAATTTCCAGTCTCAGTGTGCTCAGAGGGTTAGTTTGGGATGCATTTATCATGTCTTTGAACATCAATAGTGTGAAAGGCATTACTGCTTTTAGTGTCCACCCTCACTATGATCTAATAGGCTTGGGGAAAGAAAGCAGAATTGAGAATACGAGTGAGTATATGTAGATTGATGAACCAATACTCATTATGTGCTTAGTAGTATGATAAGCCTTTGGTGACGAGAGCAGAAGCTTTAAAAAGACAGTGAGATATGAATTTTAAGAACTTACAATTTATTCAGATTCTCATGATTAACACAAAAGGATCAATGCCATATACAGGAGATCCCAAGTGTTACAACTAAATATTGGAGATTTTTACAAAGGATAAGTCCTTTGAGGGAAGGAAAGGTCAAAAAGGAAGATTTTGTGTCTTTCTTTGAGAAGTGGATAAGATTTGAAAAGGTAGAGGAGAAGAAATTAACAGAAGTAGTAACAGGAAGTTAATACAAGATTTATCCATGTTGCTTTTTTCTACATTAAAAAAAAATAGTGGTGAAACTCTAGAGTTTTAGGGATAAAATTAACTATTACTGGTTTTTAGGTGTGGGGTGATCCATTTTTAGAAATGTAGAAAAAAGAGCTATTGCTTTTTAAAAATAGTTCTCAAATAACCTGACATCTCTAGGTACCAATTTGCCTGTTCTTTTATAAAGATCTCACTGGTGAACTGTTTTGCATCAAATGTTGCTGTTAATATGGGATCGCAGATCTTGTTAGAGAGAAATTGGAATATGTAATAAACAGCCTTTTATTTGGAAACAAAATTCATTGCTGCTTTAGGTGAATTCTATTTTAGTTTAGACCGATTATAACCTTGAACAGTTTTTGCAGTGTTTCAATTTATAATTTTAAGTGACA